TAAGTTTTTCTTGAATTATGTTAGAATTACTCCATATAGTGAGGGGTAGATTGTACATACCTGCAGATAGCAGTCCAATATTGCTGTACGCTCATGGTAATGGAAAGGAACCAGAGCAACTATCTTGAAGCCCTGCGGCTTAGAGTAATGACCCGTTCCTTGCGAGAATGCGAAGAATGGGGAAATCTCCTTGCGAAACAGCAACGAAGTGATATCAAAGGATATAAGCCCCGGGTTGGAGTAGGCTAACACGATAAAAATAATGCTTGCATAGCCAATAACGCCCCACAGAAGGACGCAGGCCCAATCGCGCCAGTGCGAGTGCTTCTTCTCATTGTTGGACTCGACATCGCGAAGGTTCTGGGTGCAACCCATGATTAGCAGTTCCCGCGCCATCTAGCAGTCGTCTGAGGAACTAAAGATGATGGAAAATCCTATTGTGAATCTACGGGCATCACGGCCTAATTTAATGTCGAGCAAAACCATCTTTCCGGTCGTTTGGATAAGGCTCGATGATCCGTTTTCGGGACATTGAAGTCCTAGCAGTCACTAACAGAAACCGTTATAAAATAAGATCGACCCCCCTCAACTCTTTCTCCTTGACAAAGAGTTATGATCCGCTGTGTATATTGCCGGATTGGGTAATAGTTGATTGCAAGCGGACGAAGGACGAGGAATGTGGTTGTGGAATGCAGGCGTCGATGACTTTGGAAGATTAGCTAGAGCTTAAACAGAGCTTTTGATGTACAACTTATGGAGTACGATGAATAGGTTTATCTTCATAATTGACAAAGTTATGCATATTTTGTACTTTACAAGTTGCGAGCGTGTATAGTTGGTGATGGGGGGTGTCTTGTTTGTCTTGTTTGTCTATGACGTCGCAGCACGTGTTTATCGTCCAGAATCTTGACCAGGAGCTCTATCCCGAGGCTGCTACCTACTTCTACCTCTACTTTTCTACTAGCTTCATCATTCTATGCCAATATTATATGCCTGCATGATAACATGAGGGCGGCCGGTCTCTTCGGCCGTTTCTGTCTCAAACGTGGACTTCCGCGTCTCCCTCGACACCATTTCAGTCGCCCGCCATGGCCTCGGCAACTACTGAAAGGCACACCGCGAAGGGCTCCCGTAATAGGCGGAGTTATCATGGCCACTCTGGCTCCAGCGGCATTTTTGAAGCTTGCGGAAGAGAATGATGGCCACGACAAGACTGGGGAAATGCAGATGCTGGAGGCTTCGCGCGAAGAGGTCCGGAAGACGGTTTCACCTGACGCGCAAGGCATCTCGAAGCTCTGCCAGACAATATGGGTCTATTTTTATTGCTATGTCTATGACCCTATTGCTACAGGGATCCGCTTCATTCACCTTGCCGTCATATTCATTCCGGTTGTCGTTACGGTGCCCGCCATTTGGCTTGGTCGAAAAGTGCAGGACCGGGATGGCGCGCGGTCTGGCACATTGTGGTGGTATCGGTTCCTGGTGAAGTCAATGGAGCGGGCTGGTCCGGCGTTTATCAAGGTATGCTTTTGTTGGCGAAGAACTGTCTTAAGACTGAACTGACAGGGTGACTTCTTGAATAGCTCGGCCAATGGGCTGCATCACGAACAGATATCTTCCCACCGGAAATGTGCAACATAATGTCCTCACTCCACTCAAATGCCCCCGCTCACTCACTTCATCAAACGAAGCGCATCATCCGCAAAGCATTCAACGGACTGCCATTCGAGGACATATTTGAAGAGTTCCAGGAGGAACCACTGGGGGTTGGAGCGATTGCACAGGTTTACAAGGCGAAGTTGAAACCGAGCCTCGCTGCAACCAACGAAGAAGAGTTGGGCATCGAACCACCAACGCTGGGTGAGAAGGTTCGAAAAAACGTCGACGTGCTGGTCAAGAGTTCCCCGCAGCGGGTGCCATCATCGTATGTCGCCATCAAGGTGCAGCACCCCAGGGTTGAACAAATGATACATAGAGACTTACGGATCATGTCTTTTTTTGCTCACATGATCAATGCCATCCCCACAATGCACTGGCTGTCTTTCCCTGATGAAGTACAACAGTTTGGGGAAATGATGAAGCTACAACTGGACCTTCGGATTGAAGCCGCTAACCTCGTCATATTCCGCCAGAAATTCAATTCTCGCACTACTGCTTGGTTCCCATACCCATACTTAGAATACACCACCCGCGAGGTGTTGGTTGAGGAATTTGCCCAGGGCATCCCATTGGCCACCTTCTTGGATATCGGAGGGGGTTTATATCAGCACGATATTGCCAATGAAGGCCTTGATGCATTCTTGCACATGCTACTCATAGACAATTTTGTTCATGCCGATCTCCATCCGGGGAACATCATGGTTCGTTTCTACCGGCCCAGCGAGCTGGACCTTTCCCTTGGCAAGCATTCGCGTGCGTTCAATGCCCCGACACGGGCCGAAGTTGATGTGACAGAGGCAGTCCTTGAGCGGTTACGTCCGAATCTCAACGACACCGAGGATTGGAAGGCTGCTCTTTCCCAGCTCAACGACGAGGGGTATCGACCGCAGTTGATATTCATCGACACTGGTCTTGTCACTCAACTAAATGAGACCAACCGGCGGAACTTCCTGGACCTCTTTCGAGCTATCGCTGAATTTGACGGATACCGGGCTGGTCAGCTTATGGTCGAGCGATGTCGAACACCGGAAGAGGTCATTGATCCAGAGATATTTGCGCTGAAAATGCAACATTTGGTTCTGAGCATCAAGTCTCGAACCTTCGCTCTGGGGAGTGTCAAGATTGGCGATATCCTCAGTGAGGTATTGACTATGGTCCGCGGGCACCACGTTCGGTTTGAAGGAGATTTTGTAAACGTCGTCATTTCATGTCTGCTGCTTGAAGGAATAGGACGTAGTTTGAACCCCAACCTAGATCTATTCAAGAGGTGAGTTGGCTCCACGAGGGCTTTTGACTTGTTCAACTGAAGCTGACTTTGTCTAGTGCACTTCCTATTCTACGACAATTGGGATCTGGAAGTTCATTCCTGGAGACTGTGCGCTCGGGCGACTACTCAATGCTCTGGGTTTGGGTCGGCTTGGAGGCTCGTGGAATGCTGCAGGCCAGCATCGAGAGTGTTGAGCATTGCGTCAAGTACGACCAACTGTCCCCTAATATATAAGACCATTCTCCTTTCTTCTTTTGTACCATACACGTCCCATTCTTCCCTGTTGATATGGAAGCTCAGATGACATGCCTGTTGAATGATAGAAATATAGTTATGTTTGGTTTATCTTTGATAGTTTAGAGCAAGACACTTATCTTTTGAAAATATCTGCAAGGAAATTGTGAAACCTCTGATATTTGAGGGGAAAGGTAAAAATTAATGCAAAGATATCATTATCATGTGTCTATTTTCATAGACTAACGGAAAAAGACCAAGGTTGCGATATAAGACAAGAGGGAGGAAGATGAACATCGTACAAGCACAAGCGAAGATAAGCAATAGAACGCCAGCGCCATGCCTCCGAATAATTACAAAGTGGAGTGGAGAAGCGGACAGCCTGGTCATTGCAGCTGTCAAGCACTCTTAGAGGCCTGTTCGCGAACAGATGCGCCGCTAGCCCTCCACCAGACATCACCTCCCCACCTCATTAAGCGCTCAACTGCGGCGGTCGGTGTATCTAACGCAGGGCGGATATCAAGGTGGAAGACAGGCAGTCCGTGAGGATCTGGGTCCCCAGAGTAGTAATCGATCACGTATCGAACTTCCTTCGGACCCGAAGGTGTCTGGCGGATGACATACCAATCGTGGCGGTCAAATGGAGGGCTTGTCCTGTTGAAATTGGAGTCAGCAATTTACTTAGTGTAAATACCGAGAGGACAGTCTTACTCAAACTTGCTGGGATACGCCCAGCTCAGTGCCTGGTATATCTGTGCCTTGGGTGACCACTCTTGCGGCCTACCCTGGAATCGGAGTAGACGAGGCTCGGACGTTGAATCGAATTTACCATTCTCGTCTGCATAGGTCAAGTCCATGCTCAGGTTTTCCTCGCCGCGGCGGCAGTGTTCCCATCCAGACTTGAGACCCTTGGCGAACACGCGCTCCCATCCCACGATTTCATCCCAGGCGCCTTCGTTCAGGAAGTTGTGAACGGCAACCATTGACTCCACCGCATCCTGGGGTGTATCTGTGTGTCCTTTGCGCAACATGGCGTTGTACATTTGTTGCGGAGATGGATACTCCCAGTTGCCTTCGCCATCGCCTCTTGGGATTGAAGAGCCTTCGCGCTCAACAGGAAGGTCAACAGTTTGATTAGCTGCACGCTCTTGGGAGATAGACGAGAACATGTAGTTCAAAGGATTGAGCTTTGAGAGGGTCGAGGGCTGCGCAGCGGTGTCGGTGGGTGGCTGCGGTGTTTGCGCCGGTGTTGATTTCGGGGCTGAGTAAAATGGAGAATCCTTCGACTTCATGGGGCAGCTGCTGGGGAGATCAGCAGCAGGAGCTGGCGAGGGTGAGGGCTTCGAGCCCGATTCATGCATCGGGCATCCCGGCTTTAGATAAGAGTCAGTCTAAATTATCAAAGCTATACATATACAGTATGCGCAAAACGAACCGGAGGAGATGCGTTCAAGGATGCATGTGGGATTGGGGCTACAGAAGCCTGCGGGGTGTCTGCCCAGAACCAACCCATTTTGAAGTATGAAGCAAAGAAATTTAATGGTAAGATCCAAGGCGAAAGTGAAGGCGCGATAAAAGACCGGAGAAAGCGGAGTGGACTTTTTTTGGATGACAAAAATTTGCCACGTGATAGGTCGAGCCTAAAGCGGTGAAATGTAAACAAATCTCCCGAGGTCCTCTGGGGGAGCTTTATATACTTCCCGAGGTCATTTCATGTATTTCTGTTCAATACATATTTGTACACTTCACAAACTCATTTTCTTTTTGTTTTCTTTTGCTTCTCATTACTATTACTGCTGGGGTTTGCCGTGCAAATTATACAAGTGCCCATCATTGAGAGCTAAGTAAGGGAGAGTGCACCCGTTCCAAGAAGAGATGAGAATTCCAGTTCCTCCGACTCGGATATAACAAACCCAGTCATCGCTTCGTCCCAGATAGAGCGCCAATTTAAGCTGTCCAAAGCCGCAACAAAGAAAAATTCAGTCATAAGTTTCGAAATTTGCTCCCATGATTGCCATCCACATATCATTGCAACACGGGCCAGCCGCTCTACAAACCATTGTCTCTCAGGTTGGCCAAGGGCACCTTGGGCTCCGACAAATAAAGCCCAAACATAAAGTCCAAAGGTTTGGTTTGGTAATCCCACAAGAAGAGACAATTTGCAGCCATCCAACGCTGTCTTGAGGTGTTTCGTAAGGGCTCGACCCAACCCAGATGATGAAGGCGAGACAATCAGGAAATGATTGAGATAACAAATAGATGCCACTCGAGTGACTGCTTCAACCGGATGAAGATTGGGCTCCGGGTTGGGGGAGCCTTCTGCATAGATATAGCTGAGAAGTTGGTGCTCTGCTTCGCAATTGAGGATGCGGAAAAAGTCTTGGTCGCCAGGTTTAATGACTGTAGGATTTGTCTGATAAGTGATGCTAAAGAATACCATGTCACGAAGCACACTTATAATTTTCAATAAGGAGGGGCTGAGGAATGTATTGGCCGAAAATCCCGTGCCTAGTCTGTTGAGAGGCGATGAAGCCAGTGGTCTGATTCGTTGTTGGATCTCCGAAGGGATTGGCTGTGCATCCCAAGTTAATGGAAAGACGGGTTTGGTCATTAGGCCCGAGGCGGCCTTGATGTCGGTTCTGTTTAATCAACTGTGAGCGGAACTCAGTAGAGAAGTGAACCGAAAACACACGTACGTGATAATGGCAGATAACATTGAGGAAGAACGAATACTCTCGTCTGTTATTCCACCCCGCAAATCAACCATACTTTTTAGCCCTGTTAGATGAGTATGAACCTCGCTGAACTCTCCGATAATCAGCTGTGGGATGTTAGCACTGCAACACACCAACCCGGCATTTACGAACAGAATCCATACCGAACCAGTGAGAAGGTTGATTATGGTATCAAATGCCTCATTGCTGAGTCTGCGACTCGGATCCCGTACTTTTGCGCTCATCTCTTGAATGGACTTTGCTCTCATCATACAATAGTCAGGGTCGTTGGTAAGCACCGAGTCCCAATTACCCGATCGCTGGCTTGCGAGAACGGCTCGATGTGCAGCGCACATGCTCATCAGCCCAAAGAAACTACCCGGATCCGAGAATGATGATCGAACCATTAGTTCCATCTCTTGGTTTGAATCTTTGCTGGTGTTCGGGAAAGTCATCGGTACGAATATGGTTTTCCCTTCCGCCTGTAGTTAGCTCTAGTTCTGGGGAGGCTCATGCAGTATGGACACTGAACATGACCAGAACAATAGGCAACGTTGAAATGAATAATACTTACAGTAGTACACCAAATGTGCAACCATCGACGGAAGCTCACTGGTACCGGGCAACGTAAAGAAAGGATCAAGAAACCATGATGTAGGTGGATTAGGATTTGAATGGAGAGGCAAAGGATAACCGGCACACCATCTGACGGGACGCCCACGATAAATCGAGGTAAACCCGTCTCCAGAGTCTGTGCCCAGTATGGAAGACGAAGCGGAAGACTGAGATGAAGCCCTCAACACCAATCTTTGTTCATCTGATTCATCAACGGTCGCCTTGGAAGTATCGGATTGCCCGCGATTCTGTCTGGATGTTCGTTTCAACCCAGCGAGTCTTTCACGTCGGCGTACATCGCGCATAACATGGGAGCGAATGGCCTTGCGTGCATTGACATCTTTAATCCTCTTAGAGGTCAAGTCGTCGTCGTGATCGATGAATGTAAAGGAAGGCCGATCCAGCGGCGCAGGTTTGGCCTTGGGTTCTAGTCGGGTGCTTCAGTTCAAGCTCTTGACAATCGAAGGGGGTGTCTTTTGGTGCAACTCTAACAATGTTGACTGATTGGGAAGTCCATAGGCAAATAGGAAACACAGGAAGACCAATATAAGTCAAAATGGATGTGAATTTGACCTCTTTTGAGGTCAAATACCCCCCCCCCTCCCCCAAAAAAAGACCAACAGGATTCAGGGTTCAGTAAGGCTAGGTTTCCCAGCCAATATAAGATATAATCAAACCAGAAAGCACTGACCTGAATGGGTATGCTGAGGCGAACCAAAGGTGAAAGGCTGCAGATGATCCATCCGAAGGCCAAGGCAAGTTCGGAATGCAAAGGAAGAGAGGCAAAACACAGAAGACAAACCAATAAAGAAGTGGATAGCAGACTATGCAGTTGGGTGAAGGCAGATTTAGAAGAGAAAAGAAGCGTAGTTACGTTCCCAATGTTGTCAATGCGGGGGAGCACAAGCCCGATTCAGCGCTAATCGTCTGGGATGATCCGGTGCTCAACGGTGTAACCTATATTTGGAATAAAGGTTCAAGGTTCTTCAAGGTTCTTCAAGTATTCAATAATTCTCTGGACTTTGTCTTGGAAAAAGAAAACCCCCACCCCGTGGCACCCGAATAATGATTGCGAACCCGCTAAGGACAGGACAACAAAAAAAGAAAAGTTTAGGATAAAACATGAAGACAAAGGGTATTCCAACATATAAAAGAAAGAAGAAAAAAGCACTAGTTCAGTCTCATGCTCGCATATCACTCAATAGCCGTGAGATCAGTGCATAACCAAAGAAGACAGCAACACAGATCCAGACTCGGTTTCGTCCGGCCCAGCCTTGACCTGCCTCTCTCGCAACGTGTCCACCGTCCACAACAGAACCGATTCCAGGAGCACTACCGTTGGGTCGTCGACGTAAAGCACTTGTCTCTGGAGAACACTTGGCGGGTGCATCAGGGTCAGGCAAAATCTGGCCGGTGGCGGAATCGATGCGATGCTCTTTCATCCAAGCCCAGTTTTCCTGGTCGAGTTCAGGCCATTCTGTGCGGAACTTCAAGCCTCCATCTCCTGCCTTAACATTGTTGATACCCTTGGACGTTCGAGTGACGCCGGCAGTGGCGCTAACATGAGAACCTCCTCCGGTCGAGTTCCACCACCGAGATCGCGCGGCAAGCACTCTACGCTCGCTTTCTGAACCGCTGACGCTTCCAGTGGTCATTTCTTCACTCGTCATAAAAGAGAGAAGACCGATGAGAATGGTCGAGACTTCCCAGGCGGGGTTGAAGGATTTCGGGTGGAAGTCACTGATGCTTAGACAGAGTCGAGTGGAAGGCTGGAATCGGCCACTGGGTGTGTGCATGCGGATGGCGGGGGGGGCGAATGGATACTCTGGAGGGAAGATCAATGTACCCCAGTACTGCCCATTTTCATAAGGAGTGCCTGGAGGTCCAGTGAGAATGTAATGCCACCTACAGCAGGTCAACTTCGGAGATCTGCGGCAATGTGGCAATGTGAGGGGATGTATATCACTTACTCAAGGATATTGGTCTCAGATGGATGGGTCACAATAAATGGCGTAGGATCTTTTTGGATATTTTGGTATTCACGAGTGAGCTATAGTAAGTATTATTAGATACTATCCACGGATAACCGATTGGCCTCGAGGTCTGGCCACTTACCCGTTTGAAAGCGGCTTTTGTCGCCATCTTTGGTGGGATGAGCAGAAGTAAGAGACTTCCCAAGGCAAAACAAGACAAGTCAGAGTTTTATGAGCACCAAGAAAACAAATCCGAGGAAAGAAAATGAATAGTGAAAGAAGTTGCGGAGTCAAGAGGTGGACTGTCGCAATCAGGCGCTCATGTTCACCGGGTCACGTGGCTGGTTCCGTATCTTGCGGGTTCGGCACGCGCACCCCGATCTGTTCCCCGGAGGCCGAAAGTTCTGGCCATTGCAGCCGCAAAAATGTCTTCCTCTTTTGCCGAAGGAGACGAGAGCGTTAGTACATATCTCAGGCAGCTTATGAGCTGCCTGAATGTTCAGTTGGCCCTCTACTAACTTCTATACGCTTCTAGGTCTTCGAGCGTTTGCAACAGCGAGTAGACCCCAAGGTGTTGGAAGAGCAACAGCAGGCCGTGAATGAGCGCATGCAAGCTATTTACCAAAAGGCCCAGAACCGACTTGCTGAATTGGTATGATCATCCAATCCTAGAAGCCGATAACAGGCAATTCGCGTTTACTTGCGGAGTTTCCCGGCTGATCGCGATATCTGTTAGATCGACGAAAACTCGACCTTGCCCTGCACCATATCCTCTGTTCAAGTCACTAGTGCCCCTCATACCCGACGAAGCTTCCTTGAGCGCAACTTGAGCCCGCTTTTGAGCGCAAACAAGGGTCGGCCCTACACACTGTCCGAAGTGTTGCGGGAGGTGTCGGCTACTGCAGATAAACTTGGACGTTTCGGTATGAGATCACAGGTTAACAAATAATGATGGATATCTACTAAAATCATCTCAGATCTATTCCACCAGCCTATTTCGATCTACTTGGATGAGTCGCAAGGCCAAAATGGCATGCGCAACATCGATGTCCATCTGGCAACGCGAGAGAAGTCCCGCGTGCTGATGAAGACCGGAACGGACTTGGGCAATGCTGAGGGCTCAGCCTACGGTAATCTTCTCTGGCGCAATGTCTTTGGTGGTGCCGAGACTTTGAATTTGAACGCTTCACTCGGTACCCGGACACGGTCCGCTTACCAGGCTGCATTTGAGACTCCGATCTTGGGTGATCCCGATTTCCGCCTAGAAATTGGTGGTATTGCAAGCTCCACCCAGAAGTCTTGGGCAAGCCACGAGGAGGTTCTCAAGGGCGGCTGGAGCAAGCTCCGATGGGTGTCCAAATCAGGCCACCGTCACGAATTTGGATACAACGGTTTCTGGAGACAGCTTACTGGCCTTGCGGAGAACGCCTCCCCTACTGTCCGTGCCGATGCAGGTGACAGCGTGAAGAGCAGCATCTTCCATAGCTGGGTTAATGACCAGCGGGACAATGCCCTTTTGCCATCTCGTGGTTACTATGCCAAGGCCTTCAACGAGCTGGCTGGATTTGGCCCACTCAAGGGCGATGTCTCGTTCTGGAAGTCAGAAATCGAGACACAAGGTGCCATCCCTATTCCCATCCCAGGAATCAAGGGTGACAGTGGTGTCAGCCTCACCACTGGATTCCGTGCCGGTCTTCTCTACCCTCTGGGACTGGAGTCCAACCCTCGCCCTCAACTTTCCCGTGTCAATGACCGCTTCCAGCTTGGAGGGCCTACTGATGTCCGTGGATTCCGCCTCTGCGGTCTCGGTCCTCGCGAGGGTGTTGATTCACTAGGCGGTGATGTGTACGCCGCCGGAAGCGCCAATCTATTGTTCCCGCTTCCCCGACTTGGTGCTGAGAAGCCCGTGCGGTTCCAGGCCTTCTTGAACGGTGGCCGTTTGCTCTCTCTGCATACCTCACAGAAAGCCACTCCTACTACTAATGGTGAGGTGCAGGATGCTCTAGTCTCAACTCTCTCTGAACTACAAAACGGACTGCCCAGTGTCGCAGCTGGCTTCGGTATTGTGTATGCTCATCCTGTCGCCCGCTTCGAGCTTAACTTCTCCTTGCCTCTAGCGTTGCGAAAGGGCGAAGAAGGCCGCAAGGGGCTCCAGTTAGGCATCGGAATCAATTTCTTGTAAACGTCGATAAGTAGATTTCTTGCGGATTCAACCATACCTTATACATTGTGTTACCAATTCCAATCAAGCTCAGATTAATTTTAACATTCTAAATACAAGAACAACCACATCCTCTGTCAGTTTACAATTTGTACATTTGAGCTTAGTTCGCTGGACGGGCCCCGGCCGATTAGACGCTTAGTCATCCAACATCATTGAGGCCATTTGGAGCTTCGAAGCTCTACAACAATCCACACCTTAGCCAAGCGCTAGTCCCCAGGAACCCCAGGCACATCCTACATTCAAACAGATACTAGCGATCTTTTACTCTTCACGCCGTCAGTCGCGGCAATGGCCCAATACTATCCACAACAGCAGGGCTACGCTCCCCAGGGCTCCACACCACAGAATCTCCAGTTCTTTCCCTCGTCCTACTCCTCGGTTTCCGGTCACACAACCCCCTCACAAGCATCTTATGGCGCCGGCTTTGGTGGAGCTTCTAATCCCTCCGCACAGGCTTACCCTGCCGGTAGTGGGTATGGGGGCTTCGGGTCCCCGGCCGCTGGCGTCAGTGGACGGATGGGCGAACAGGGCGGCTTGAGGACGGGCTGGTTGGCCGCATTTGGGACGGAGGGGTATGATGGTGAACCGCCGTTGCTTGAGGAGT